CCTAATGCCAGAATCACACAACAGCTTGCGTCACTTTCCTAGTGTGTTCAAGTCCTTCGTCCTTGAGATTCTTCCAGGCGCAGGATTCCTGGGTCCTTTAATCGACCATGGAATACCAGGTTTTCGAGTAAAATTCGATTAAGATTTTCAAGATTTCTTTTGAAGCAGCACATCCAACTTTTTGAACCACTATGAATTTGCAAGGCAGCCTGTAGTTGAATAGTGAAATGTCCATCCGCATCCTAAACTGTCCCCCTTTTTGCCATAGGTACAGAGGTAATTCACCTTTGATAGTGGCGGAAGAGTATTTTTCATCAAATGGTCAGATTGGTTCAAAAGATCCATGTAATGACCGAGCTGATTGAAGGTTGTGCGCCACAGCTGGTGACGTCTAAAGAAGCCAGCAAATCACTGCTACATACAAAGAGTTTTCCTGCAGAAGGTAATGCGTTCAGGAACAGCCACGCTGAATGTTGATTTGAGTATCAGAGTGCGCCCCACCGAATCCGATGAAGGATCGTTATAAATCTGGAAGATGGAACTAATAAATAAAAAAAGTCGTGTACCCACCCTAATCACTCGTTATCGGTATCAGATGTTTGTTTGAGAGGTGGAACTTGGTTTAGAGTCCTCATAATGGGTCAGTTTACAAATTTGTGCTCATACTTATTTCGAGTTAGTAACATCGCAGGTGCGAAATTGTATTGCTACTACATCAAATTGCAAGCTCTACAGATTTGCCAGGAACCAAAAAACGCTCTCGGAACGAATAAGCAAAGAGCTTGTCTTACGTGAGTTGCAATTATATTTGGGAAAAGTTACGACTTTAATTGGTTTTTCAGATATTTAATGGTTATTGGGAAGAGAACTCCCGAACGAAGATACTGAAACGAATGTTAGGCTAATTTGTAATAAATTATGTCGAATCACGTAGATCCGATTGGTTGCCACATTCTTAGACTCATACTCAGCTCGTCAGTCATTATGGACCGTCTGCGTATGCATCCACATGGATTCACTCACCGGACCATTCAATCACCTGTCTTTTACTAATCCACCCCGATTCCATTGGTCGACAATCCCTTTCATCACGGGCTGCTTTGAATACATACACTCCGCAACACAACTACGTTTCATTTCGGGGAAGTACAACGTGTGTACTGGCCGGAATGTACCCATGACTAACCCCAATTTTATTGATAACTTTCACCAATCACCTGTTACGCATGCCCATTCATCCGTACACGAAGAAACATGGCTGGCGTGACGCTGATAAACTGCCGTCTCTGTTGTAGCCTGTCTAGCCTCTCTTCCCGGGATGTTATAAGCTGTTAGCTAGAAGGGATGTAAGGTGGTGCCAACCGATCACTGCACATCTAGCAAACGAAGCTTGCTCTATTCTCTCATCCTCTTAATCTTCCCGGGTATCTGTGCAGCTTGAAAGGGCGACGGCGTAGTTAAAGACCACATGCCAGGGTCTCAAAACATTAAATATTTTGTGAATTAGACAAAAATTCATACTGGGCCCTAATAATCATTTATAAAACCTCACCCATAGATTCAGCGTCAATGATGATTAACATGTGGTGTAATTTTAATGAAAGCACCGACCAGCTTGTGCCCAGGACGACACAGATTTTGAGATGACATAGATCATTTTTGATCGAATTTACAGTTCTGCCACAGTCGCAGATGTAGGTCACAACCGACTGTGTCCTGATGATATTTGCCAACGTAAAACTGGAAGCCAACGTAATGACGGAGCTGATTGAAGGTGGCGCACCACAGCTGGCGACGACTAACGATGCCAACTAATCTCAGCCATATATATTGAGTGGTCCTGCGGAAGGTAATGCGTTTGAAAACCGCCGTGTTGAACATCGATTTATTTATCAGAATTCACTGAAAGGAAACTCACCAAGTTGACGTTTAGTAAGTAATTCTAAGGATGCAACTAATCAATGAATGAATTCGAGCAATCCTACTTGCCATTTTCCATCATGAGAAAGGGGTTCGTGTGTGAAGAGCTATTCGATTTGTAGTCTTCGCGAATGAGCCTTGGTTTGCGAATTTGTAACCTACTTACTTCAATTTAGTAAATTATCTGTGGTATAGCTCACAACAACAAAAAAGACGAGTAAATTAAGATTCACTAAGAACTAAAAAACACATCCTTTTTGATCAAATGACCAAACAGTTTGTCTGATGTGAGTCCTTTTTCCTAGACCAGGACATTGAAGTCAAAATGTCCTGGCTTGAACGACCTTGAACCGATGGATAAGGAGAAATCAATACTAACAGAACCACTGACTTGGTCTGCAAATCTCCATTCAGTTAAATACTTTTTTAACTCCTCCAAAATACTCGTTCAATGAATATTTTTACAACTTGCAGGGTAATACAGTTACACATTATTGTAACTCACACCACCACCACCACCACCACCGAATTACTTAGTGTCGGGTCACAAAGAGCGAAAACCCTCGACATGTACAGCGTCTTCATGTCACCTACCTAGAGCCCTGTGGAATTACCACAAACCCACACAAATGTGTGGACAGTGGTGGTGATCAGGAAGACCATGTCGATCTAGACGTTATCAGACCCTGACTGAAAGGATGGAAGTGATTTAAGAGCGAGCAGTGCTTAACAACATTTATTCAACCGTTGCAGTCTTTTGACAATGAGAATTCTGATATCGTGTCAAACGGCTGCAAAATAGGTAATCTAAAATCGTGAACAACAAAAGTAGATACTGCCTATACCAATCACCGCCAGACACCGTGGCTTCCACCACTAATATCAAGTAACTCATTTGAACTAACAACAACTAGTGAGCCGGTTGTTCCTTGAGGAAGACGTCGTACTCAGTAATTGTGTGGGAACATTGATACCACAACGACCTTCTCATTCATTCGCCCACGTAAAATTGTGTGTACAGAACATTTACATGCAAAAACAACATCGCATGATGTTTACAGCCAACGCAATTATATATTTGCGTAGGCAACGACGGGCAGCCAGACAATAACTGAATCACGCGTCGATCCGGCGTAGGGGGATTTCAGATGGATGATGCAACTTCCTAACATTTATTTGCACAACGCAATCACCAGGAGTCTGTTTGTCAACCTGCACGAGGTTGAATGGTGATTTGGAATTGAAACAGGAACTGCGCATCAATGATGATGCCGATGACTATGAAGCAACCGTGTGTTGGGAGCTGCTACGACTGGGTTATTGGACTTGAATTAACACGATTCACTAGAGGTGCAAAGGTTTAAGTTAAGTAGGCACATGGGGCTTTTTGAGGGCGACTCTCTTCTCTTAGGTCTTGAGCAAAACGAATTCTCACGGAGCGGCAAAACCCTAATTCTCTAGTGTTAAGAGCAGTTCATTTGACTACACTTCATAAACAAGACCAAATAATGTTTCTCCGTATTCAGGTACTTGTGTTCAAATCAGACACCAGGCTGAGTAAATGCATCAACCTTTTAGTTGTGGTCAAGGCGAAATAAGCATCCCTGATTCTAGACACTAATCTACTTACGCGCATCGAAAACAAGTTCTTATTTACTATTTACTGGGCACTCTTACACAAGTGCCGTAGTAGTTTTGCAAGTTGAAGACAATAAGTGCGCTTATTATTAACCAATTTGTTCTCAGGATCTTCCCACAGGTTGTTAAAAGTCGACTTCAGCTTACTAGATGCGCCGATTTCAAACACTAATTCAAAGTCAAGTCGGATTAACTTAACATTTCATGCTTACCTATTTACACAGGAATAATCAGTGAAAAGAAAAGAGACGAGAGATGGAAGTGTGCGTCTATTACAGGTGACACATGACCGATACAGTCTGGCTCAACGAGTGAAACTACGAGTGTCTGAATGGCCAAGTGGATAAAGCGGGTGGTGGTGGTGCATGCCCAGGGCTGAATGACCAGACGGTGTCGCATGGCTAATGGGCACGCCGTGAAAAGTGAGACGTGTGCGAGAGACTGCGACGACCGGGTTAATGGACATGAAAAACACGATTCACTATAAATATAATCATGAATTGAAGCTTAGGCGCATTCGCGTATGCGAAATTGTGCGCATGTTTAAACATGACACTCGGAATATTTGAAGCAGTTTAGTACATCCATTCCCACCTTCGAGCAATTTCAGCACTGATAATCTGTGTCTTCCTCGACCACTGACATTGCAAATTTCGCTACTTTTTCGAACTATTTCGTTTGCATGGTTGCTTAGACTGAGCAATGCTATTTCATGTGTTAATAATCACAGTTAGCTAGTCCACTGTTTAGAGTTGCATTTTGTCTTATTAACACTGTCCAAAATAAAGTTCTGCCAAATAGACACACTCAATTAAATCCCAAATTCCGGGTCCCTCCGATGTCGAAAACTTCTATTTTTTACCAATTTACATGATTTGGAAAGTAGACAGTAAAGACAGATTTAGCAACTGCGATTAAGACCATATATAAATATTCGGCGCATGAAAAAATTTATACAGATTTTTTTTAGGCCGTGACATTAATTGCAATTCACATATTGGATCTTCGAATGTCAACAGAGTAACAGGTTTCGCTGCAGGGATGCACATCTAACCCCATTCAACAGGATTACTCAGGAGAAAAACTGAGTTCTACTTGGCACACGTGCACTCGACAACGCACAGTGCTTATCGCCGAGTTAAGCGAACAGCCTCTCTCTCATGTGTATCAACAAGAGTGGCGTGCTTGTGCTAACCAACAAAAACGGCACCATTTGGAAAACGCCTGAATTGTTTAGTCCTCTCACAGTTGATTACACGGGGGTGATAAAGGAACCATGCCAATTATCGATGGCCTGATCCCACAAGAGCGTCTACGTGGGAGTTGATCCTCACCACGCAGCGTTTTTCAATTGAACATTCTCGGACCCACCAATCACTCTGCACAGATGTTATCCAAAGAGAATATAACTACGGTGAATGCTTTCAAAATTCATCAGAACAATGGCCGTCTCCTGCAACACAGTCTGTCTCAGAATCTCACTTGTCGTCTACAGCATCATCATCACTGTAAGTGCTCACTCGAAGTTGTAACTTGTCTTCCTGTCATTAGATCATTGGTATTGCATGTGCTGGTGTTGGGATATACTTACTGCTCAAATCTCAAGATACGACCGGCTTGTTGCCATTCAGCTCTTTTATACTGGTAGTCGTGGCGGGTGTTCTGGTCCTTATTGTCGGATTTCTTGGCTTCTTCGGAGCACTCAAGCAGAGCACATGTCTGCTTCGTTCGGTAAGCTGAATTCAAATGCCATGACATGTTTAGTTTGGCATTGGGGCTTCAATTCTCTTAGTGATCGAATTAGCAGCCACGATATTTGTGCTTGTCAGTCAGACGAAGGTGAGTCGTGGAATATGTGAGTGGTTGACCTGGTGTTCAGTTTGTTAGCATCGTCGGTACAGCTATTCAGGAGCGAATCAAGAGGCTGGAAGCGTCAGGACCTGATGGATTTGAAAAAGTCATGGACAAGATGCAGCAAGAGGTAAGCTAGATAAGTTGAAAATGTGACACATATTTCAGATGAAATGCTGTGGTGGAGTTGGACCAAGTGATTGGCGAAACACTCCGGCCAGTTGTTGTCCAGATGGCAAAGCATCATGCAGCGACCCACATCCAGTGGTGAGTGCTTACTCCTCGTATTCATGCTACACTGTTCGTGCGACATTTTCTGTTGCTATTGATGCTGATTGCGTTCCACGCTGTTTCTTACATCCTTTATTTGTCATTGGATTACGTGTCAGTATGCAATACCCAAGATGAGTGTGCAGAAGCTGATTCAATTATAGATGACATTGCATTTTCATTGTAAACAAATCAAATTGAGCCAGATGAAACCACTGCTAGACTGGCTGTTCTTGTACCGGCCAAATTCTCACGAATTTAATTTGAGAACAGCAGCACAACATTGTGCCTGAAGGTTTGTGAACGCCTGTGATTGTGAGCGATTGCTATGCTCTCGACTATTGGCGAATTCATGCTTGATATTTAATGTAAGGCAAATTATTTGTGGCAGCTTTATGCACTTTGCCTCCTGGCAGATAAATGCCGAGATTAATTCAATGGGTAAACACATGTTGTGTGCTGCTTTAACAGGGCTGTGCTCAGGCTCTCCACGCTGTCCTCGAAAACTACACCTGGGCTATCGGCATCTCTGTGATTGTACTCTGCCTCATCGAAATCGGAGCTATTGTCAGCGCGTGTCGACTTGCGCGAAAGCAGACGGAAGATGTCGAATAATCTGCTGTAATCGACAATGTTGTTTTTTCTGCTACCACCATTTCCCAACTTTGGTATAACTGCCTATATTCCCTGATATTCCTCAATGTTGTCTCCGCAGATTATAAAATATGTTAAATGAAAAAACTGCCTTTTTCCATTTACGAGGCACATTCTATTGCTTCGCAAGACTGTAAACGTGTTCCCAAGAAGCGAGGCAATGCTTTGTCTGCGTAGTTCCTTAGTTTGCTTGAAATTTAATGATGGCGCTTACTATGAGTTGACCACTTGCAAACCTATCATGAACCGTAGCGGGCAGTGGTGAATTTATCTCTGCCACATATGTAGACACTGCTTCGTGAGTTATGGTCGAAGGAGTTTGCTCACAGATCTGCTAGTTGGGGTTGTTAGTGCAAACCAACCAGCTTTAATCCATCCTCACCTCTTTTATAACAGATTTGTACAATTTCTGATGTTGAACATATTTGCTGCGTTCATTTGGGATAATTATGTATTAGGGCTGCTTGAGGTCTGCTCGGAATGGCATGGATTGCAATTAGAGGTATTAGTCTCACAGTAAACATGTGGATTTTGCAGTTATAGATATGTGCTCAGATGATAATTGTGTTTTGGGATGCAGGGCGTATTCCAATAACTCCTCAACATCATTCGCAACTCCAGTGTGGCACATGAAATACCCTTGTCTAATACTACATTTCTTGCATTGTGGACACACTGTTCTTGCAAATCCAGATGTGTGTCTGCTCACTGATTACAACAAAACTAAATGCAGGGAACCAGTGTCACGCCTGTGTCGCAAACACACACATCAACACTGCCAATGCTTTAGCTTGTAAAACGCTGACAGCGTCTTTGAGAGAATCCCGTCTGCACGAGGACCTAGTTCGCGCTAAGCGAAAGCAGACAAGTTTACATCTGGTTCGTAGTAAACTAATTCAAAGAAAGAAAACTACCACTACAAGCCACACCACCAGACAATCTCCCCATTTGCATGTCGGCCATAAGTAATGCATTTCTACTGTCCTGCCATCGTACACTCATTCCACTTCAGTTGTTTCACGAAAATATGAGCAGAAATGCTCAAAGATGCTGGGCGGTTCTCCAGAAATCCAGTTTTGCGAAGAAAGGTTACACATGCATAACACCAAAATTACCCACATTTTTAGTAGGAACACGTTTGTTTACTGTCTTATTTGCCAACTTTGGTTAGTGCCAAATTAACGCGGGAAAAGATGTCAATGCACAGGACGATGACTGGTGAATGCATTCGTGGGCGTGGTGTAAATGCGGATGAAGCTGTCTTTCCGTAATTGGCCTGTGATATCGAGTCATGCGTGGGGCAAATTCACAAACGAAGTGCTTCTGAGTGTATAGGCGCATTGAACCACCTTCATCTTTGTTACGTTTCTTCGTAACAATAGAGAAGACCACCCAAATAACGGTACCAGATCCCTAACTGAAAGCTAGAACCAATCTTCCCGGGCTAAATACAAGAACAAGACCAGAGCTCGTGTAGAGAGCTGTATTCACGTCAGCCATGTGCGGCGTGCAGTCCGGAAGTCAAAAGTAATTCAAGTCAGGTTGACCTTGACTTGATAAAAAGTGTAGCAAAACAAATGTTAGTGAATAACTGTAAATAGCATCAGAAACCAATCTTGGGGAATCGTGGATCCCCAACAATCATTCACTCACTCACTCACCCAATCACTCACTTGCTTTTATGTACACGAAGTAAGAGCTTAAAACTGCTGAACTCACTATGACTTGTTTGCTCCCAGGAGTCTGTTATTATGCCCACGTCTGATGTATTTAGTAACCTGTAATGCGTTTGAGAATGATCTAAGTGAATAACACAAAGATACGACAGTGACATCGGTGCGATTGCCAATGATCCTGATGAATTTAGCTGTTGCATCACTTCGCACATCTGGTCCTATTTCATATTTTTGAAAGGTCCAAATACATGTGGCTGCCACCTGCACTTACTCGATGGAACACTGAGCACGCCACTTGCCTTTCAAAAGTGTGCTCTACCGTCGTGTGTATTAGTATAACGGATCTGTGTTGTTCTACTGCTCATGGCACTAATCTGAATTGCGAGTCTTGTGGTTATTGCGAAGGCCATGTCACCAAGCCGTTCGGTAATATTGCATGAAAAACTTGCAAAAGTCATTCTAATCGGTGTACATTACAATGTGGTACATCACAGTAAGTGTCAAAATTCTTAGTAATCATTGAAATAATCACATCTATAATTCAGACAAATACACACGCACCCACACAAGATCAACGTTTTCGGAGCTCTGCAAGGTTTAAAAGAGACCAATCGCGACATGACTGGATAAAAATACCACACTTTTCACCTTCCTAGTCAAAGCAATTTAATCATTAATTTCCACGCCATTCAGGCGTATTATGACGGAAATGGTTAATAAAGTTTAATGTCGGTGGACTTTTGTGCGTGGTAGCCTAGCAAATGTCGAATTTAAACTGTGATTAAAGGAAGTAATGTGTAGAATGCTAAAACCGTTTGCTGGTGCACACGCACGCTTTATTGCATGAGTCAGTTTGCTCGATTCGGAATCATTTGTAAAACAAAGAGAAATGATGGACAACATGTTTCATCTCTGATCTCATTCTGCAAGGACAAAATGAGCTGTTGTGCCAACCGCCATTGGCTGCCCAAGTCATTTTGTAGGATGTCCTAACGATCCGGTTACGAAGCAAAAATAATTACAAAAGACCACGTTCTCTGCTACTGTTAGAGAAGGAAACGGGAGTTTATGAAACACTTTGAAATTATTTGAGCCTACACCTGTTTTGCAAATGTTACAATACTAACTCAATGTGGCACTGTCAGAAGTTCATTTTCTTAGAAC